TGATCTTCTCTAATTCTGTTTTCTATTCTAATATCTCCTGGTATTGCCACATCAATTATGCACAGTTTCTTCTTTTCAACCACAGTTACATCTGGTGTATTATGTGCCAAGACTTTACCGGACTTCCATTTTTAATCATTTTGTATCTGCTATGTTTATAAAATATCTAGTGACATGTTGTTATTGATTGTTGTTGTATTTTGCTGTATTGTGGCTTTCAGGAAGCTGTTAATTGCACAGAATCTAGAGAAATGAACCAACACCACACTGGAAGTGGCGCCATAGAAAATCCTACCAAATGTGATGATGCCAAAGGAGTAGTGCTAGTGAAGTTCATGGAGCGTGGTTCGACCATCAAGTCAGAAGTCTACTGTGAAACATTACAAAAACTCAGACGAGCCATCCATAACAAGCATCAGGGCATGCTGACTTCCAGTGTGGTGTTGTTCATGATAATGCTCGCCCACACACCACTAGACGCCTCCAAGAACTTTTGAACCAGTTCTGTTGGGATGTTTTTGATTACTCCCCCCCCCCAACTCAGATTTGTATCTTCAAGCTGCTAGGGTTAAGAAACACTGGTCCAGAAAGCTGACTAATACAATACCTGTAATAATAAATAAATAATCAAATTTGCCATACTTTACCAAAACAGTAGTAAAATAAAATCCATCTTGTACTAGCTGTCTTTCATCCAAATGACTCTCATAGCTCCAGAAATTATACAGCTCCCACTGACATCACAACTGAAGGCAATCATTCATCTGCAAAAAAAATTCTTTCTCCTTTCCATGGAGAGATGGATGAGAACATCACCTGAGCCTCCAGGGTGCTGAGGTTCTCTCCTCAATCTTAACATCTGTGCTGATATAGTTGTCATCGCTCTTGGCAGTATCATTTTAACTGACAAGGATTAACAGGAAAGGATAATTGTCAATGGACTTAATAAATTTCCTCAATAATGAAACAGACCTTAGCCTAATTATTTGGTCGAGCAGCTGCCTCCTGAAAATGTACAATAAGAGTATTATGCAGACAGCAGGGAAATGTAATCTGACACTTACAAGTCCCAAAAAGAATAAAACTTACAGACCTGCATTGTAGTTGTGAAAGAAAGGGACTAATCTGCCTTCTTTGGCAACACAGTTATCCAAGCAATGAATCAGAATACAACATCAGAATTTTATCTCTATTATACAAAATTCCACAGCATGAAAACTCCCTTCCAGAGAAATGGGGACTCTACTAAGGATGTTCTGAAAGCAAACTGCAACTAGAAATTGACCTTATTACATCTGTGTATTTTCCATGGAGGAAAATATGTTCCATTAGCATTACACAAGTCTGCTTAAAAGGAACTCAAAAGCTTGCAAAAAGGGAATACAATCACAGCAGCAAAATCTAGTATTTCCTGGTTAAGCAGCCTGTTCATAGTAAGGAACCCATCAAGGAAATTACACATTTTCATAATCCCCTGGCTATTAAACTGGGCTTTTAAATGATGCAGTTAACCAATAGATAGTGTCATAACCTCCTATCCAATCTTTCCAAACTTGAATATTCACCAGTTATGATGTTAGCAATGGCTCCTAGCATGTGAAATAGAATAAAAAGCCAATCCAATTGACAACATTCTCTACACTTTTTCTTTGATAAAAATCACTACTTCTTTCAATAGGCATCTCCTTGTATTTTTCAGAGGAAACAGCCAGGAAATTGCAAATGATATCCTGATCATTGGAAAAAGGAGAAATGTTACCGAAGCAGAAAAAAGAACATTATTGGAAAGTATAGTCTTTCCTTCAGATTGCACAGTTGGACATCAAATTAAATCCAGACAAAATGAATCTCAAACTGAGACAGGTGGCATACATAGGATATGTACTGTCAGCTGAGTAATAAAATTTGATTTAAAAAGGCAGACGAAATTTGAAACTACAGGACACCATCAAAGGACATTTACATGACTATGCATGACTTGCTTCCTGACTAAATTTTACCAATACATGGCAACCATAAAAGCTAGAACAGAAATAACAACAACAACAGAACTGACACCATAGAGCAGCAGTGGGATTCAAATACAGTATGTGAACAACCGGTTCTCTGTGTGAATGCCACTTCCAGAAGTTCATTCTGGGCCTGGGCAACAAAAAATTAGCTACCCCTTCTGCCAAAGTGGTGTGAACTGGCTGAATCCCACCACTGCCATAGAGTGAAAGTGGACAGGTTACCACAGGAAAAAAAATATTTCAGAAATTAAGCCTATGTCCAAGTTATTGTCAGGAAGCCTCAGACATTTTCTGGAGCCACCATCAGGTATCCCAACGCAGAATTATTTGTAGAAATGTCTATGAAAATCAGAAAAATTATAGGCAAGGATAGGGAAAAAGTTAGTAGTTGTGGTATTTGGAATATGGAATTTTTACCAGTATGGTTACAAGAATCTTTTTGATCTCAAACTACTGAAGAAAATTGTGAAAACTTCTCTTTAGAGTATTTTAGTTGCTGGAATGAATGGTGTTATAAACATTCTAACTTGAGATCAATACAGTCCAGGAAAATCTCTACAAATAGAAAAGAATATCTATAGCTCTTAGTTGAACTATGGAGTTCTTGGTGCTCTCTGAGTTTGGTTGTTTTCCATCCAGACATTTCATTATCCAACTATGATGTTAGTTGAGTAATGAAATACCTGTAAGCAAGCAACCGAGGTCAGACAGTGTCAAGAACTCCACAAAAAAAATTCTACCATTAATTCTATCCACCAGATGAAGAAATTATCCAGAGTGATCAGGACATTTGTGTCAATCATTGTGTAACTGATGTATCCTGTCAGTTACATCTCACTTTCAGAGACTTTATTGGCTTGTTCTCCCCGTTCTTTCCAAAGTTTTATAACTTTGTTTAATGTTTCTTGATTTAAACCAATATAATGATAATAATAATAATAATAATAATAATAATAATAATAATAATAATAATAATAATAATAATAATAATAATAATAATAATAATAATAATAATAATGTTGGAAGGGACTTTGGAGGTCATCTAGTCCAACCTCCTGCTTAGCAGGAAACCCTATACCATTTCAGACAAATGGCTGTCCAGTCTCTTCTTAAAAACTTCCAGTGTTGAAGCATTCACCACTTCTGGAGGCAGATTGTTCCACTGGTTAATTGTTCTAACTGTCAGGAAGTTTCTCCTTAGTTCAAGGTTGCTTCTCTCCTTGATTAGTTTCCATCCATTGCTTCTTGACTCCCTCTTCTTTGTGGCAGCCCCTGAGATATTGGAATACTGCTATCATGTCCTCCCTCATCCTTCTCTTCATTAAACTAGACATACCCAATTCCAGCAGCCGTTTCTTATATGTTTTAGCCTCCAGTCCCCTAATCATCTTTGTTGCTCTTCTCTGTACTCTTTCTAGATTTTTATGGTATCTATATACTGCAATCTTTGTGGACCTCATGTCCTATTACTTCCAACCATTCTAAATATAATTGATTTTTCTAAGGATTTTTATCATTTGATATGACCAAAATGTGCCTTAGCTTGGTAATGTAATCATCCAGTGACACTTCTGGCTTGATGCACTGTATAAAATCCTCATTTATTTATTATTTTGTCCTCTAAGGGATGAGCAGTAACTTTCTTCAAGCCCATAACTTAAAGGAGTTTGGTTTTCTTCTATGCACATTCTTGTTACCTAATTTTCATAACCATAGTTATAGGAAAAACAATAACATTTACTATTCTGCATTTATATTAACACTGATGTCCTTGATTTTTAGGTCTTCTTGCTAATCATTACAGTATTGCCCAATGATGTACTAAATTTAATTTTTCAGGCTCACTATCTCTTCAGCTGATTTTGGAACAAAGGAAAATACATTCCTGCACTAATTCAATTTTATTATGATAAACCTTTATCCTGATGATACAATTTCAGCTGTTACAACTTTTTCTTTCTTTCTTTCTTTCTTTCTTTCTTTCTTTCTTTCTTTCTTTCTTTCTTTCTTTCTTCCTTCCTTCCTTCCTTCCTTCCTTCCTTCCTTCCTTCCTTCCTTAGATTGTTAATGTTTCTGCCACCAATTTTTTCCAATTTCTAAGTTAAGATATCTAAAAACTTTCTCTGCATATAAATTGAATAGAAAAGGGGATAGAGTACAGCCTTGCAACAATTCTTTCCAATTTTCAATCAATCTGGGTCTCCATAAACTGTTCTGACAGTGGTTTCCTCAATTATCGTATAGTGATTAACTAAATCAAATGATCTGGAATATCAATTTCTTTCATATCTTCCCATAGTTTTTCATGTTCAATGCAGGCTTTGCTATAATTGATGAATATAAATATACTTATTCTGTGATCTGTCAAATAGTCGCAGTGTGGACTTGACTGAGCCTTCCTCTTCAATTGGGAAGAAAATTTACTTATAATAGAGCTATTGGCAGATAGTTGGAGCAGTTGTGTCACTTTCCTTTGGGATTGATGAACATTGGTCTTTTCCAATCTTTTGGCCATCCATTGATTATCCATAGTTTTGTAATTGTTGCTTGTGGTACTAATGTAAACAGTTTTGATAGCATGACATCAGTTCCAGAGGCTTTCTTGTGGGGTTTTTTTGGGGGGTACATGGGTAGTTGTTTCATTGACCATGCTACTTCCTCCTCCAAAATATCTGGATCTCTTTACAATTCCTGTTGGGGTGTCTTTCTCTTATTTTTTTGCAACACTAATTCCAGTAATTTTATCTTTTCTAGTATATTCACCACCTTTTTTGTTAACCATGGCTTTAGTTTTCCTTCTCTGTTCAGCAATTTGGAGAGTGTCTTTTGACAACCATTTGCTTGTCTTTATTGTTGTTGTTGTTTTTTAAATAAGGACATGTTTCTTTGCTATTTCACTGATAATGTTTTTCATTTCTTCTCCCAGTCCATTTGGGTTCCTTTTCCATAAAGTTAAGTAAGTGGAATCTGTTCTTTATTTTGACTGCATATAGAATTGACATTTTGTCAGTATTTTTCTGGATGCAGTGTTCTTTTTGATATTGCAGAAAATAAATTTATTCTTTTATTTAAAAGACCACCCTTTTGATACATCATAACTCTGGGCAGTTCACAAACCATAATAAATCTGAATAATAAAACCAAAACCAAGAACGAAGAAAGGAAGGAAGGAAGGAAGGAAGGAAGGAAGGAAGGGAGAGAGGGAGGGAGGGAGGGAAGGAGGGAGGGAGGAATCCTGGCACCCAAACCACCAATTAATCTACACTAGTCACTATTTTGTTCTCTTTCTTGATTGAATGCATTTTTGCTGCACA